ATATATAAGGTGTAACAAAAATAGTGCACAATATTTTAGTAGGTCAATTAGTATGTGATAAACATCATTTTTTTATGAAAATATTTTATAAAAACTTATCAATTATTTTTAATAATTCAATTATTCATTTATTATTTTCATTGCTTTTTATGCCATCCTGCAATATGTACCTATTCCTATGTACCTATTCGAAAAGCTCGGTCGTTGACCCGTAAGATAAACGTCCGCGCGCATCCATACGGCTGGCGTTATGCGTAAAAACACAACAACAATTTTGCAAATGTGATGCTAAATTTAATTAAACATGTTGTTGTTTACATTTTTGTTTAGGTAAACATAATCCTTGTCATTTACTATATCACCTGTTAAAATATTGTGCACTATTTTTGTTAGACCTTATATATCATAAAACAAAGTCGCTATCCGCCGTCTGTATGTCCGTATGTATCCTTAGATCTTTAAAACTACGCAACGGATTTTGATGCGGTTTTTTTAATAGATAAAGTGATTCTTAAGGAAGGTTTATATGTATTAATACATGCATATCGCACCCGTGCGAAGCCGGGGCGGGTCGCTAGTTATTCGTATAAAACTTCCTCTAGAATTACTTCTATATTTAATAAAATGCATCAAAATCAGTTGCGTAGTTTTAAAGATCTAAGCATACATAGGAACAGACAAAAGCTACGTCGTCTCATGTATAATCGTTACTCTTTCACTCAAAAACTACTGGACGGATTTGGATGAAATTTTGCACAGAGATAGATTATTCTTTGGAATACCACATGGGGTATTTTTTATCATACAAACGCGGGCGATGCCGCCAGCAGAAACTAGTTAAGTACAAAAGACATGCAAAGAATAAAGCGAGTATTTTAACTCCTGAAGTTTTTATATTATATAGTGAAATAGAATTATATAGTACATAGATTAATATATATTATTGTTCATGGGGTTTCTTTATGTGAGTATGATCAGAGGGTATGAAGAAAAATGCTGGTGTATGGCAATAGGCACACCCCCTATTACATGGGACTATATCATGCAAATCTCTCGAGATTTGGGCTCAAACGAGATCTCGCAAAAATATACTGCATGGTTGATGCGATGGCTGGCCCGGCCCACACCAACGACAATTGCCATTGCTTATCGCAACAATGCACGTTCACCGTAGGTGTAGCCACGAGTCACCTCGTCCTGCCCACTGCTCCCTATTTCGTCGGTTTTTGCGCGCCAGTCAAAGGCCTACTGCAAAGTTAACTAGGTTTAAAAATAAATCTCAGTAGTAGCGCGGAGTCTGGATTTGTGCCCGTATATGGCAATAATCTCACCCCCTATTACACGGGACTCACAACATAAACAGTGAAAAGTGGGTGTTACATTGTACAGTGGCATTAAGTGCCGTAATGTGCCTACACCTTCGAGGATAAAAGGCGTGATGTTATGTTATGTTGTCAAAGTACCGGTTATACGAGGAGGCAACGAGGACTGGCAATAGGAGCGTCGTGATTAATAGCGCGAGTAGACCAGTATGTGGGCAGAGAAGACAACTTCGCGGCAAATCACGGCGGCGTGAGGAGCATACTCTGACAGGCGTATATGGCGTATTGTAATTTTATTCCAATAGGCGTGTCGACAGGGTAAAAAAATCAAAAAAGTAATTAGTCCGTCATTAAGATCGCACGAAAATATCAGACACGTATTTTTTGTTTTATCAAATTAACAGAAGAATACGTAGTTATTCCGCATTAAAGTTAGGGAGTGGGGGGTGTTGACGTCACACTTACGGGGAAATCGTACCTAAGTGTGACGTCACGCGTCATTTTAACTCAAAATATCTTATGCATGTTTTTTTGGATACGAGAAAAAAGAAAAAATACGTTTCGAAGATTTTTAAAATATCTAAAAGACGGACAAAAAATTAAAAAATAGTCGCCATGCCTATTATACTCTCTGATCATACGCACATAGTGTGAAGGTTTTAGAAAAAAATACAATGTTTTTTCATATTTAATATAAATATAAACTAATAATAGTAATTATGTACTGTTTATATTTTTGCAAATGTTTATATATTTCCGAAATGACGGTAAAACGATTGGCTAGCTAGCTAAAACATAGTTTCTATGTTAACCGGTTTTATTGAGCTCTCTCTATTTTATCATCAAGCCTTTGCGTTTGATATTCATAGTGACGGTAGTTGTGGAAGCAATTAGATTATATTGTATGGTCATCAAGATTAAGAGTGTGTACCAAATATCAGATCGGTCTGTCGTCAGGAGGGGAGTGGAATTACAATTACTAAAGACCCCGAACATACAAAAGGGAGAAGCTAAATAAAAATGTTCAAAAGTTAATAGATCAATCTTCTACCAACATCCCGATCCCCCAAAAGGCCGGTAACGCCTATAGTGTTGCGGGTGTCCATGAGCGCCGATTGCTTACCATCAGGTGACTCATCTGTGATGTGTGTCTTAGAGTGCAATTTGAAACAAATGTTTTTAGGAAAAAATTGTGACAAAGATCGTTTTACCGTCAAACTGTTAGTGAATCACTCTTTTAGGGTAACGTTGGCTAAATTCATACTTGAATTCATTACCATATAGGTACAAATGTCCATTATTAGCCCGGAGTCGGGAAGTTCGGCGGTATTTCACCCCCGTGTCTAGGATAGCACGTAAAGCCGTTGGTCCTGCGCTTGATCTCTCCGGTGGTGTCAGTCTGCCGTCCCATCGGGTTCAGAGAGCGCAATGGTGTTTGCGCACTTTCTTTCTTTCCAATAGGCTAGTCTAGTTAGACTGGCCACTATGATGAAGACTGAGTACTTTCCTTAATCAAAAATAAATTATTTCGACTATTCAATACAATAAAAT